GGGCATCCAAATGGGTAAAGAGGAAGTCAAGGTGTCACTGTTTGCTGACGATACAATCGTTTACCTTGAAAACCCTAAAGGCTCCTCCAAAAAGCTCCTAGAACTGATAAACTAATTCAGCAAAGCTTCAGGATACAAAATTAATGTACACAAATCAGTAGCCCTGCCATTATCAGTAGCCTAACAGCTACCAAGCTGAAAATAAAATCAAGAATTCAACCCCTTTTACAATAGCTGCAAAAGAAAAAAAAATACTTAGAAATATACCTAACCAAGGAGGTGACAGATCTCTACAAGGAAAACTACAAAACACTGCTTAAAGAAATCACAGATCACACAAACAAATGGAAACACATCCTATGCTTATAGATGAGTAGAATCAATATTGTGAAAATGGCCATACTGCCAAAAGCAGTCTACAAATTCAATGTAATTCCCTTCAAATACCACCATCATTATTCATAGAACTAGAAAAAACAATCCTAAAATTCATATGGAACCAAGAAAGAGCCCACATAGCCAAAGCAAGACTAAGCAAAAAGAACAAATCTGGGGGCATCACATTTCCCAACTTCAAACTATAGTACAAGGCCATAGTTACCAAAACAGCATAATGCTGGTATAAAAATAGGCACATAGGCCAATGCAACAGAATAGAGAGCCTAGAAATAAACCCAAATACTTACAGCCCACTGATCTCTGACAAAGCAAACAAAAACATACAGTGGGGAAAGGACATCCTATTCAACAAATGGTACTGGGATAATTGGCAAGCCACATGTAGAATGAAACTGGATCCTCATATCTCACCTTATACAAAAATCAACTTAAGATGGATTAAGGACTTATACCTAAGATCCGAAACTATAAAAATTCTAGAAGACAACATTGGAAAAACACCTCTAGACACTGGCTTAAGCAAGGATTTCATGACCAAGAACCCAAAAGCAAATGCAATAAAAACAGATAAATAGCTGGGACCTAATTGAACTAAAGAGCTTTTGCACAGCAAAAGGAACAGTCAGCAGAGTAAACAGACAACCCACAGAGTGAGAGAAAATCTTCACAATCTATACATGTGACAAAGGACTAATATCCAGAATCAACAATGAACTCAAACAAATCAGTAAGAAAAAAACAAACAATCCCATAAAAAAGTGGGCTAAGGACATGAAGGGACAATTTTCAAAAGAAGATATACAAATGGCCAACAAACATGAAAAAATGCTCAACATCCCTAATGATCAGGGAAATGCAAATCAAAACCACAATGTGATACCACCTTACTCCTGCAAGAATGGCCATAATCAAAAAATTTAAAAAATAATAGATTTGGCAGGGATGTGGTGAAAAGGAAACACTTTTACACTGCTGGTGAGAATGTAAACTAGTATAACTACTATGGAAAGCAGTGTGGAGATTCCTTAAATAACTAAAAGTAGAACTACCATTTGATCCAGCAATCCCACTACTGGGTATCTACCCAGATGAAAAGAAGTCATTATACGAAAAAAAATACTTGCCCATGCATGTTTGCAGCAGCACAGTTCGCAATTGCAAAAATATGGAACCAGCCCAAATGCCCATCAATCAACAAGTGAATAAAGAAACTGTGGTAAATATATACCATGGAACACTACTCAGCCATAAAAAAAGGAATGAAATAATGGCATTCACAGCAATTTGGATGGAATTGCAGACCATTATTCTAAGTGAAGTAACTCAGGAATGGAAAACCAGACACTGTATGTTCTCACTTATAAGTGGGAGTTTGCTGTGAGGATGCAAAGGCGTAAGAATGATACAATGGACTTTGGGGACTCAGAGGAAAGGGTGGGAGGTGGGTGAGGGATAAAAGACTACAAATAGGATACAGTGAATACTGCTCAGGTGATGGGTGCACCAAAATCTCAGAAATCACCACTAAAGAACTTATTCATGTAACCAACCACCACCTGTTCCCCCAAAAACCTATGGAAATAAAAAACAAAAATAAAATTAAAAAATAAAAACAGGAGAAAAAATAAGTAAAGATCTTGAAAAATAAAATAAACTACTATCCTCCAAAGTAAGAAAGAAAATTATTCTGAATTTATAGGTGGGGGGAATTAGTTTTTAAATGGTACAATGTGCAGATCATTGGACTGACGACATCAACTAAGCTTCAGTAAATGATGAAAACTTACAAATCCTCATTGTTTGACACACAGAAAGATCCAACCTCAGATTGCATCCTCTGAAATCTTACGTTGCTGTGGTTGCCTGGCTCATTTTTAAACAACTGCACTTTTTAAAGCAGTAAGGGATGACAACTAAAATAAATTTGCAAATCCTAAATTTACCATTTCTTGGGAGGAAATAATGTACATTAGCAGAAGAGTAGCCAAATTAAAAGACTGAGAGTCCAAATGTGTTAGCATGAAGATGTTGATGAACTTTTTCACTCCTTTTCTAAGAGTTATAGAGCATTATGTTGCGGTCAGCTGACATGTTATCTCTGGAACCACCGTACTGGATATGTGCACAAAAGGAGGTCCATTGGGGAGCCTACTGAAGTGGTTTACTTACTTTATAACTAAGAAAAATTTAACAAAAAATTAACTGAAAGGGCTAAGGGGGTCATTCCCTTATGCTACTAATGTAGCTTAAACATCAACATTTTAATTTATTGTTATAACAGAGATCTTTTGAAATAGAACACACATAGATTTTTAGAAGAACTAGCTAACAGTCTTAACTAGAAACTGAAGAAGTAAACGGATAATGTTACGAGGTCTCTCAAAGACTTTAAATATGTGAAGACTAACCTAGACCTGTGGGCAGTGTGGAGGTGAAGTTATCTTGTGAAAATATATCACATCAGGCATGTACTGAGAATATAAGGTCTGTTTTAGAAATATCTTTATAATCATAGAAATGAAGCACAGAATATAATAGAACAACCAAAAAAGATAAGTCCTGTTAGAAATGTTAAAAGCAGACTCGGGCCGGGTGCGGTGGCTCACACCTGTAATCCCAGCCCTTTGGGAGGCCAAAGTGGGCAGATCACGAGGTCAGGAGTTTGAGACCAGCCTGACCAACAAGGTGAAACGCCGTCTCTACTGAAAATACAAAAATTAGCCAGGCATGGTGACGCGCACTTGTGATCCCAGCTACTTGGGAGGCTGAGGCATGAGAATTGCTTCAACCCAGGAGGCGGAGGTTGCAGTGAGCAGAGATCGCACCATTGCACTCCAGCCTGGGTGACAGAGCAAGACTCCATCTCAAAAAAAAAAAGCAGACTCATTAGTACACCAGCCTAATTAACCAATTAGATTACTGTAAATTACAAAAGTAATTTTACATATATTTTATCATGAAAACTCCCTTTCTGAGTTGAATTAATATAATAGTGAGGGACATTCTTCTCCAGACATCCCTTCATCAGACACACACACAAAATTACTATTAAATTAAAATTCATTAAACCCTATCTAAAAAGGATTGTCTATTGGGATGCTCCACTGCATATTTTAAGATGCCCAACATGTTGCAATTTACCCTGTGTGATGGGTAAGGGTGGAGGCCATGAGACATGCCTCTTACTATAGGTGGCAGGCTTGCCCTGCAGTCAAATAATTCTGAGCCTGTTTTTAACGTGAGTAATGGCATTAAAAACTACAAGTTTGAGTTGTACTAAGTTTGAAACTTTCTAGAGCATATTTTGCATTCAAGTTTTAAAATCTGATTGAAATGTACTATTATGCAAATAAGCTATAATTTTTTTAAATTTCATCCTTTTAAATAGTAACCTAAGGCAAATTTAAGTACTATGATTCTAAAAATGCTAATTCACCCTTGTAAAAGATCTCTGAAAAATAAAAATTTATGCCAGTTGAGAAGGTAACTAGTTGCCTCCATGAGTAAAGGTAGTCTAGTTTAGACAAAAAACGAGGAAAAACTAGAATCCACAAAAATGATAGTATATATTCAAGTAGTAGATTAAGATCTGTTTATAATTGCTACAAATTTGATGTTGTAGCTTTATGAATAGAACTGTGGGCCTAAACTACAAACAAGAATGATTACACAAAATAAATCACATTGTAAAAAATAATTTAAATTAATATAGGAATATTTGATTCAATATATCAGTTACAATTATTATTCGAACTAATGCAACTTCAATTCCACAGATGACTAATAATTATTCTTTTTATCACAAGTATATTAAATTTTTCTAGACATATAGTACTTTTTAAGCCTATCAGAAAAGCTAAAGCATTTGTCATTATCTTGTAATCAGTGTACACTAATTATTATGTCCTGAATCTACCCATTCAATACTTAGATCATTTGTCCAGGCCTTAACACTACTGTCCAATAGAACTGTCTGAGATGGAAATGTTCTGTATCTGTACTGTCCAATATGATAACATGTGGCTATTGAACACTTAAATGTGGGTAGTGCAACTGAAGAACTAATTTTTTTATTTTATTTAATTATTCAGTCACATATGACTAGTGGCTACCATAGTAAACATCACAGCTTAGAGGGTTCAACAAGTAGGACCAAATGTCTTGTTATCATAGGTCTAACTGTGTGTAGTTGGCTTCTTGATCTGCGTAAGCAATGATATTCACAAATGCTTACAAGAATAGTATGCCAAAAAGTCTTTTGCCCTGTGGTTTCATCTTCACTCAAAAATATTATTAAATCTATGCCAGCAAACATCTACTACAGCATTCAGACAACTTCAAACAAAAAAATACAATATGAAAAGATTTTTATTAGTGTTTGTATGTCAGTACAACTATACTGATTAATACTGATTAATGAGCCTGGTGGCCTGTGTCAATCTGTCTAATGTTAGCTCTAGAACAAGTAGAACTCAAACTATGAAATAACCACTGCTAAAAAAGTTTTTGTCTATTACCTAACATAACACAAGAATACCAATTACTACATAGTTTTCAGCTCCATTGGTTAAACACTGCAAAGGCTTGTCAAACCATTTTACCTGACAGACATATTTGTTCTTCCATTTGCTCAGCACACAGTGACTGTTTTGCATCAGCTCCTGAAGTACAACAGAAAAAGAGAGAGCATAGTTGGCTATACACATTGTCATTATCAGTTAAAGTGCCTCTGATTTGCAAGCAAAAAAAGATCAACATGCCACACAAAGATGCAACTGTTTTGGAACTCATCACTGGACAAAAGCAAAGCTATCATCACCATGAGAGTTGATCCTTTATGAAAATTAAAGCTGTTGAAAGATGTTTTAAAAACAGATTTGTTTGTTGCCATTTTTGAAACTTTTTGAAAGATACCTCCAACTCTTTGAGTGAGTCTCGGAGTTTTTCTGGGCGTCTGTTTTTGAGCGTCCAAGGATAATCTCGTGCTGGCAAATAAAACATGTACTACAGTTAGTTAAACAAGATTTAAAAAGGAAATTCTGCTTAGCAGTGCGCCTTAGGAAGATTAAAATAAAACACCTCTATAATTGAGAGGAAGTGGGCTTCATTTCCATCATCAAATGACAGCCTTTTGAAAGGCTTTGTCATAGGAACAGGATTTTTACCACAAAACAATCTCCCTAATCATAATTTTACGATGACAACCAACAAGGCTTGGAGAATCCCAGGGAAAGTTTGCTAGGCTTGTGAATCAAGTAATTCATGGTAAATGATGTACTCTTTGCTAACTTTTTCATGTAAATAATTAAATGTTGAATCCAAAAGAAATTCTAAATTCTACAAGTAACCTACTCAGACCTAAAAAAAAAAAAAAAAAATTATCATGAGTAAATGAATATAATGAGCAAAGAAATAAAATAAAATGAAAAGAAATAAAAAATAAAACTGTACATAAAAATATATGAAGTTAGGCATTAAAGCTCCACATTTTAAAACTATGGAAAAATCTGAGGGAAATCCAAGTTTTAACAAATTAGGCCCTAATAGTGCTCTTTTTAATTTAAAACAGTTCTCTTTAAAGTATACACCACAATTGAATAATGATAAGCCTTTGTTTTGCTTTAAATAAATTTAATTGAAAGATAAAATTATTTAGTAGAGTCATCATGTTAGCCTAAAATAAATTAAAAATAGTTCTGCTTAAAATAATTTAAAAATGTTAAACTCATATCTATTTTATCAGAAAAATGAATTCATCTTTGGATTCTCCTCATTAATAATTCCAAACAAGAGTTACATGTGTATTTGTGCTTATGTGTGTGTTGCATGTACATATACATATGTAGTATACATAGATACTTAAATTTGAGAGTAGACTTGCTATATATCTTATTTCAGCAAATGAATTTGGGTCTCTAAACAATTTTGATGTAGAACGTATGTGCAAATTTTTAAATCTGTGTTGCAGCTACTAATACATTATTTTTTAAATTAAATGTCAGTTCAACCATTTAAAAAACAAGAGAACAAATGGGATTTTCAGCTCTAGCTATAATCCAAAAAAATCTTAATGTATATTTAATTTATGTCATGAAAACCATATTACATTGTCGTCATAATATATATAACATATACTGGAGATCAGAAAAGACTAGAGTGAATAAAATGCTAATACTGATATTACAAATATTATTTTCTTAAAAATGGGTAAGACATGTTAACAATTTAGGCAAAGTATGAATAATTAAATGTTACTATCAGAATTTAAGCTTGGTATAATTATCTTAAATATACTAACATATAGTTCATTATGAAAGTTTATGCTTATATAAACATACATTTTATCAAAACTGAATAGAGATTTCAATGGTCTAAATTAGAAAGGCCTGACAAATACAATTGTTACTCATATGTTTATATTTCTAAGTAATGGGAATTTAAGAAATTTGGAGGGAATAATGTTTCCTCTTTGTTCCAGATGAATATTTTATAATACTGAACTTTCCAGTTTTATAATAATTCCAAAAAATATAAAGTAAGCTTACACTCTGCCAGCTTCTGCTTTTCTTCTAAGTTACCATGCTCTGTCGCTGATATTGTAGCAGAAGGGACAGAAAGAAAAAAACAAAAGTAGAATTTATTTTTATTATAATGCCTTACATTTTAATATGTACACGTATAATGTATTATTAACATTACATGCATTATTGAGATTAATAAATTATGCTTAGATTCTAAAAAGACAGTTGAAAAAAAGGCCATAATTTGGATGTTTTCATTTCATAGAGATATTTCCTAAATTTGCAGTGAAAGGGCACAACAGCTGGACCAATATCCTGAGCTTCCAATCTCATCAGATAGGAAAGAGAACTGCAACAGAGCCCAGAACAGAAGCTGCTTCAGTCTGTCATCAGAACCATGAAGTCAGCCTATTAACCACTAAGCTAAGCACACAGGATGCTCACACAAGCCCACTTCAACGGAGACCAAAACAGGAAGTAACTCTAGCTAGAAAGACCTTTTGGCCCATCATAAAACTTCTGGGATTAACAGGATTAATCAGATAAAGAAAATTGATCATTCACTCAGAAATGCCTATTTCAGATATCAGGTGAGGATCCAGGAGGCCAGCATCAGTAGGACCCATGCATTAACAATGCCCTCTACTGGGACACTGATAAATAAACGTGAATAGACTGCCCTGTTATCAGCCTGATCAGCAGGAAAATGAAAATTTTCATGTCCTTCTACAGCATTTTTTCGATACTACTTTATTTTATATAGAACAGATAGATATCAACCTCAGCATTTTTCTAAAGAATTGAAGGGACTTTTCTTAAAATTCTAGAATTTATCTAAAGCTCATAAGAAGAGCGTTTTTAATGGTCAGTATTTCATGGTTTAGAATATTTAGTTAATAAAAATTAATTGCACAGAATAGGTACTTTACCTGGTGGATCTTTCTTGTCATAATACTGGTAAATCCCAATGTTTCTATCTATAGAAAGGAAGAAATAACATTAAATTATGATTAAAAAGTCCCCGAGAATAAGAAGCCAAGCCATACTATATTAGGGGAAGGGTAGGGAAAAAAGCAGAAACAGTCTCCTTATGTTACTAGAAATAAAATGGCTCAAAAGCATCTGGAGATGAGTTCATGTATTCTAGGGATATGCAGAAACTGGAAAGTTTATCAATCTAATGAGAAAAGATTTACACAAAACTAGAATGGCATGAGAAAAAGATTAGTAAAGAACTGAAATCAAGAAAGACCAAGTTTTCTCTTTCACACATCCTCTGATATTTTTCACAGGGCGCTACCAAAAGGAACTGCCACTAAGCAATGCCAAATGAAATCAGTGGATGGAAGAAAATGCCCTGTTGGATTCTGAGCTGTGGTTTTCTTTTCTCCAATTTAGCTCAAGAGTCTAGTTCTTATCCTATGGCATTTGGGAGAAATCCACAGAAGAGAAAGGGAAGATTAGAGGAAGGTTTGGATAAATTATTATCTGAAACTTGTTTAGGCAGGGAAAACCCCTTCTAAACCTAAATTCGGACACTTTGCTGGCGCTACCTAAGAAGCAAAGTTGGGCTTCCCAGATGTCAAGATTCATTTAACCAAGGAATTATTCCAATTTAAATATAAGATAACAAAATAATTTTGTCCATTTTCTTCATATCTATGAATAATAAAATATTTCTTTCATTGAAGGAACATTTGTTTTCTTTCATACAAAATAATTCTCAGTTACTAACATAAGGATAAAGAGTATAGGTGGAAGCAGTACAGGCTGCCCCCTAGTGACTGACTGCTCCAGACTTTCTGAAACTGAATGATAAAACTTCAAAAAAAAGTATTACTGCTATAATTAACTTTTCAAATATAGTCTTTCAAAATAGTCAATTGCGTGTACTTGTTAAAGCTCTATTTTATTCATCATGCCATTAGTAGAGGCATACAATTTTAAAGAATGCAGTTGATGTCTACTGGTTAGACTGAATATATCTAATAAGGATTTATTGTGAAAAATCATGAGTAGGAATTCTTGGATACTGATATTTTAATTGTTGTCCTGGATGGTGATTTTATGGGTGTTTTCACATTCTGATGGTTCACAACATAATCTTATGATCTTTACACTTTTCAGTACATACATTATACTTAATAAAAAGGCTATTTTAAAATCTAAGAACCATAGGCACTACATATGCAGACAATATCTCTATTAAAATATTCCACCCTATAATTATACCCATCATTCCATACATCCAAATATATGCCACAAGTTCTAGAATATAACTATGAAGATCATAAAGAATCCTGAATTATTTGCACAAGTCTGACCTACTGCATCTGGCCCAGAGTGGGATTGTCAAAACGCAAGCAGAATAAGGAGAGCATCCAGTTAAGAAAACCTGCCCTACAATGGGTGCCAGAGCTGGATGAGGAAGGTGTCCATTCAGAGAGTCAGCCTGACACAGTGTGTTGGAACTCCAGCAGGGTAAGAACATTCTCATGAAGCAACGGCCTGGTGTGGGTATTAGAGGCTAAACAAGGTAAGGAGAACATTTACATATGGGGGCAGCCCAACATGGTATATCAAATCCACATGGGGTGAGAAGGGTATCCATACAGGGGAGGGAGCAGCCACAGAGATAGTGGATTGACTGCGAACAGGGTGACTGATTAAGTAAATAAATAAAAAATAGGGGAGCTCCAGGTTTCCCATTGTCTGAGAAGAAAAATACAAATATGGAAAGGGAGAAAATTAGAATGAACCCTATGGTGGTAGATAGGAATGAGATGTACCAGTGTGAACTCATGGTTTCAATATAGAGAGATAGATAGATATAGAAATAAATGTGGATGTAAATATGTGTGTATACATACACACATACATTCTGCAAGCTCTGTCCACTAAGAGGGCCTGGGAGCAGCAATACTCCAATAATGAGTGCACCTAAAGCAGAACTCGGCTTCTAGACACCCTTACCCTCTAAAAGGAATAAAGCTCCTTAGAGAAGTGACCGATTCCTAGGCTAGGAAGAGGAAATTACAACATGAGTCTGGAACATTTGTTGTACCAGAAAGAATTAAAGTGCTCCAATTTTGACAGGGACATGTCAAAAAGACACAGAAGCCAGCCTGAAGAGGGTCCCTCTGGCCACATCAGGGACAATTTAAACATCAAAATAAATAATGAAATAAAATAAAATAATGATATGACTATATTATTACAACTGCATAAAGTGGAAAACTTGAATCCACAGAGATAAAATAAATTGATCATATATAATAATATATTTAAAGTGTGATGAGGAACAGAATATTTACATAATTTCAAGGTACTTCCCTATGAAATACTTATCACAAAGAAAAAAGTAACTTCGCAGTGGAGAAGCCTTGCAGACACTATCTTATCAGGTAATCATGAATATCGTCAGGAAAGGGACAAATTGAAATTATGCACCACCTGATAGGATGCACTGAAATGTATAACCTGAATCTAATTGTGAGGAAATTTCAAATACAACCAAATTTAGGATCATCCTACACAATAACTGGCCTAATATCTTCAAAAATGTTAAGGTCATGAAAGTTTAAAAAAAAAAAAAAAGAGAAGAAGGATGAAGGATAACCCAGAATGAAGGATACTAAAGAAACACGGTAACAATGCAATGTGTCACTGTAACAAAATCCTTTTCCTAAAAAAAGAACAATGATGGGACAATTGGTGAACTGGTCCATTTAGACTGAAGTACATCATTATTAATTTCCTGATTTCAATGGCTATACAGTAATGCAGGACAAAATCCTTTTTGTAGGACATATACATGAATGTATTTGGGGTGATAAAGCATCAGGCTACAACTCTCAAATGGTTCAAGAAAAAAAATTCTCTGTACTGACAATTTTTCTGTAAGTTTGTGATTATTTCAAACATTTTAAAAATAAACATCGAGCATAATGACAGCACATTAACAGGGTTACTAATTTAGTCTAGATAGCAGGAAAGGCTTCTCTAAATGACTTAACAAAGCTGAGCCCTAAAGAAGTAGGATTCACAAAAGGTTAAACAGAAGAATGTCCCAATAGAGAGAACGGGTAGGCCCTGCAAAAATGCAGTTGGGGTTGAAGACTATTCCCATGGGGCTACTGTGCACCACTGTGTGATTCTTCTCTAAAAACCATTCACTGACTCAGAATAGAAGGAACAGGGACAGAAAACTTGAGGACACACGGAGGGGTAGGGAAGGCATTTGCTGGGCATGAACAGAAGACGAGGGGTAAAAGGGGATCAAGATGGAATAGCTCAGACTTCCAACTATGGGGTCCAAGATGGGTAGGAAGATAAGTGAAGAAGTCCCAATGGACTAGGAGAATGTCAAGCGATTAAAAGACTGACCATCTTGAAGAAGCATAAAACCTAGATATATGAGAATAAGGGAAAAAGATGAAAAATGGGGAATTATGATTAGAAAAGAAAACATTTCAATTAAAGATTTCCACCAGCAGTAAAATAAGTTCACTTTGGGATTTCTTTTTTCTATTTTCTGAGATTTCTTTACACTTTTGAATTTTGAATTTTTTCTGCAACGTATTTTTAATTTCCAAAAGATTTGTATAATTTCAAATGTTTTCTGAAGCTTCTGTTTTTGTTTCTTGCTTCATGGATTTAGTATTTTTCCTTAGGTCTCTGTTGTACTTTTTTCCCCTCTTCCTACATTATCTCTGTTTCTTCAGAGATCCATTCACCTATTCATTTTGTTTTATTTCCTGTTGAAGATATTCCTCAAATATCTGGTGATCCTTAGTTCTCTGTTTGTATTTACAAGTGAGGCACTAAAAAACTGATTGGAAGCCCTGTGTAGACAAATAGAGCTTGCCAACTGGTGAGCTTCACTGATCAGGCAAGGACCAGGGTATTTCACCAAAGAATTCCCTCAAACATCTATGTACAAAGGTCTTCTTTCTAGGGTCATTCAGTCATTCCAGAGAGGAATACCTCAAGCCCCTTCTTTCTTGGAAAGTGTACAAATAGGTATGACATTCTCAGAACCAAGTGGGATTAAGAAGACCTCACCCATAAGTATGTAGGCTTCCTTCCATTTCATGCCTGTTTTCTGTTCAGCAGGTCTTCCACTGCCCCTGGTGTTCCCAACTTTAGAGCCTCCTTAATTAAATATTTCCACAGCATGAAAGGTATCTCACAAGTTCTTCTGCAAACTTTCACGTCCCTTTACTGTTGCTCTCATGATACATACGATCTTCTACAATATCTGGCACCTCAAATTTCTGTATCTTTCCAGAATTTTGAGTCATAAATTGGCTGTCACCGGAACTCTCCTCTGCAGGCAATTTATATTCAGGTTTTACAGCTCTGCTAATTCCTCTTTCCCTCCCATCTTCCAAAATTTGTCCAATTTCAGTTGTCCCCTCTCTCGAAAGGGTTTATGCTTTCTTTATTTGTATTCCTTTATTGGCATTTTAGAAGAGTTTTAGGAGGAAGCAAACGAATGTTAAATCTACTTTAACTGAAATTTCAATCTATTTACATTTTAAAGCAGATAAACTTGATGAAAATATCACAATCATCCTTAATTCTATATTTGATATGAAGAAACAATACTTTGTAAGGTAAACCATTTTCTTAATAATGATGCTTAAGTGATATAAATAATATTCTTCTCCTAAATACAAGTGTTACTTTGTATAATTAAAGATTTTTTAAAAGATATTTCTTATAAAGTATACTACATCCTATGTTAATAAGCATTATTAAAACACACATATTATTCTCCCCCCGAAAAATGTGAAAAACAAAGAACATGAAAATAATTGTACATCTTAGCTATAAGTTTGAAATGTTATTTTAATATCAAATAGAAATGCCTTTACCATTAGCTATCCTGTACATATTTATGAATATAAATGTTAATATGAAGAATCCCAGAAAAAAAATTGAACATGTGTGTATCTTGAGAGAACAAACATTAAGCCAATAAGATTAATTTTCAAAACTGAAAACCTAACTCAAGCTATAAATATTAAGTTAGTAAGAGTAATTAAAAGGAATTATTTTCCATTAACCAGTTTTTCATTAAGAATAAAGAAAGAATGCAACTCCAGCTGGAGAATTCAGACTCTAACCTTTGCTAGTACTTATTTATAATGGTGTAACATATTTGAAAAATATTGAAATTAATCCAGAGCTCATTTACCCGCAATGTGTAAGGTATTCTTCAAAGACCACAGGTGCAGTTCAGTCAAGCAGAAAGACATCTGATGGCAGAAGGAATCTCTGTCCTGTTTAAAAAATAATTAAAAAGAAGTGCCAATTAATTATCTTCTATTGCCAATAAAACCAAGATACCTTAAAAATAGTAAAAAGAATCATTCGCCACAACTGTTATTTGAAATATGGTCCATTAGAATAAACATGCTCTAGTGTATCCTTGGTTAACCATCCAGAAATAAACTCTAGAAAGAGGAAAAATACACTCCTTTTCCTGGATTTAGTATGTCATCACATTGAGAAATGTGGTAAGAAGAATATATATAGTATTTAGGTTTTCAATAGCATATGTTTGGTTAAGGCTCTGAGTATATTTAGAATTATTTAGTATTTAAGCATTTTTTTTAAGTTTTATTTTTAAGGAAAGGAAACATCTGTTGGTAGTTATTAAGTACGAGCACATTTTGTGGTGCATCTTTGGTATATAAAGCAAATATTTACAATATCCTACATACAAACAGGCTAATTAAAGTGAAATTTGCAAGGTAAATGGTATATAGTTACTATTATAAGAAACATAATTACTTAAAAGTAAACTCTGAAACCACATTAGCATTCAGCTTAGTATGTTAATCTGCATGTCATGATGGATCCAGATATTTTATTCTGTGGGGTTTTTTTTTTTTGAAAAAACAAGATGGTAATAACATACATCTTTATTCCCCCTAGCAGGGGCTAGGGATGGACACTATCAATACTTTTCTTTTTAATCAAATACTACCTCATCGATTTAGACTGATTGGGAGAAGGCTAGTCTGCATTAGAAAAAAGGTCAACATTTTACAAATGTTTGAAAGGAATTTATATAATTTTCAAATGTTTGCTTGGAAATACATATAGTACTACACTGTATTTATGTTATCCTACATATTAGAAATATATACAATAATTTAAACTATGGACATTTTATTTATAGAATCATGAAAGAAATGTTCTTTCCAGTAAACTTCTGAATGATGAAGTTTGAAAAATATTTTAAGACATTTTAATGGAGGAAAAATTCTTCAGCTTCTTTAACATTAGGAGTGACTAAAAATATTTCCCATAGTATCCATATGGTTGATAATCCAAAATAATTTCAGACATAGTACGAACTTCCTTGGCCTGCCCTTCATCCTTACATTTATGTGACCTCAATGCACTTACAATCAAGAAACAGATGCATGTTGAACTAATGCGATACAGTATGCTACGGACTGAAACAGCAGAGTGAAAAATGTGGCAGCACAGAAGAGGGGCCCAATCCTGACTGAACAGCTGGGCTGTGAGAAAGCTCAGAGAAGTTGTGAAATGTTAGTGGGTCCTCAAAGAAGGATAGGATTTCACCAGATGATGATGATGATGATGGTGATGATGATGATGATGATGGAGAAAAAGATGAGGAAGAAAATTATGGTGATAACAACAGACAACACTTACTTGTTCTGAATATTTTACATGTATTAACTTTCTTAATCCTCATAGCTACTCTTTGAGGTAGTACCATCAGTATTCCTATAATGAGGAAACTGAGGCACAGAGTGGTCACATAGCAAGCAGGTGGTGAAGGCTTTGGATCTACACAGACTAGCTCCAGAGTCTGTTTGCAACCACAGTATTCTACTGTATTGGGGTAGACAAAGTTATGGAAGGGAGTATATATAGTATATATAGCATGACCCGGTCGGGTGCAGTGGCTCATGCCTGTAATCCCAGCACTTTGGGAGGCCGAGGTGGATGGATCACGAGGTCGGGAGATCAAGACCAGCCTGGTCAACATGGCAAAACTCCGTCTCTACTAAAAATACAAAAAATTAGCCGGGCATGGTGGCAGGCGCCTGTAGTTCCAGCTACTGGGGAAGCTGAGGCAGGAGAATGGCGAGAACCCGGGAGGCGGAGCTTGCTGTGAGCTGAGATCGCGCCACTGCACTCCAGCCTGGGCAACAGAGAAAGACTCCATCTCAAAAAAAAAAAAAGAGATGGCATGACCCAAGGATGAAAGTAGATTAAGGTGCACAGTGGATAGTGATAGAAAGGTGAAGCTAGAAAGAGTAAGGAGGAAACAGGCTACAATAGTAAATTTTGGGTTGATCTGAATTTACTTTCTTCCATGCATTAAACGCCTTTAAAGGTAAGAGATGAAATAAGGAATCCCTCAATCCCCAGATCTGCCCTGCTGTGCCTAAATGCTGGCTGCCACTGTATACAGGTTTGGAGTTGGAAAGCTAGTGGACTGCATTACTAAGAGAAAGAATGCAGTTCATTATCAGCAAGCAGTAGAGAAAAAGGGATATTAAGCTAGTTACTAATTTTTCAGTTAAACTGAGTATTATCTTTCAGAGTTGTCACTTTGGAAGTGACTCTAGTGAGCCTACTATTACTGAAAATGTTTCCAATGCAGTGTTCTTTGGAATTGCTTTCAGTTAGTTTTATGAGGCTAATTTTAGAATTGTCATCTTACAGTTAAGCTTTTTTCTTAACTAAAATACTTACCGTATTAGAATATGTAAACTGCAGCCTTTTCATTTGGAAATGTGAGGTCTGGAATGTTTGTTTTAAAATATCAGTTAATGAATTAAATATTTATTTTTCATCTATTTAGCTTAATGTGTAGATTCTAGAATCTGCCTGCCTGTTTTCTTATTCTAATTTCTCAGCTTAGTAGCTAACTTGGACAAATTACCTAACTTCTCTATTTCTAAGAGTCCCCAGCTATAAAATGGGTATAATAAAGTACCTACATCAGGACTGCTTTCAGGATACACTTACTCAATTACCTTAACACTGCAGTTGCTGCTTGCTGTTACTCAGTATATCTATCACTATGCAAATTTGTATGGAAAAAAATAAAACAATAAATATGATCTCTGACCTTATGTGGTAATCTCACAGTATGAAATAAATAACTACTAAGTACAATAGGCGGTTTATGAAGGAAAAACATCCAGATGTGGAGAAGTTACTATACAAGAGAAGGTATTTGAATTAGGACATGCAAATGGGTTAATATTCCATTGCAAGTAAGAAAGAAAAGAGATGGTAAAACAGGTGTATACTTCCTCTGACATTCAGCATCAAAAGTCACCAACTTCTATACTATACTAGAAAAATAAGTTATATTCCTCAATTTAGTTTTTATTCAGATACCAGTAATACTAATTTATGACAACTTGCATAAGACAAGGCTGAAGTTTAGCTGTTTGTTGCTATATAAAAAGTCTTATCATGTAAATTAAATACAGATAAAATTTTATAGATAAAACCAAAAGACTGCACCTTTACTTACACATCAAAAGAAGATAACACTTGAAATTCTGTATTTCAGTTTAAATCAATTTAGTAATAATTTGTCAAAACTTTCTCCTGATAACAGAAATGGAGAGTGTAGTGTAGTTTTCATTATAATCTACACTGGCTATTTCTAAGAGGCAGAAAAACACCTTTTACTTGAAAAACTGATAGGTCCACTCCCTATATCTTCATTAAGTTTGAAAGTCCTAAATTAATCAAAAATTATAGTGTTTCAAGGAGAATAAGCAAAATGAGATCTGTGAAGAGCTTCAAAGCCAAGAGTCAAGCCATTAATTCTCTACATTTGAACACGGGAAATCCTGAGCATAGTACAGTATAGAGTCTATGACCTGGACTTGTCTTCCAGCTCAGCACCCACGATCCATATGTAGGTCCAATGGTGGTGGGAAGACTGAGAAAAATATACAAGATATTTCTCAAAATGCTCTGATGTACAAACAACACTGTTCTAGTTTCCCATTAAAAAGCACAGGACGAAAGAAGGAGAGAGACATTCTCCTCCTACTTATTAAAGGACCCCTTTGTGGCCCCACAAGGGACCTATCATATAAGGATGGGGAAGCTGGCCAGGCGCGGTGGCTCACACCTGCAATCCCAGCACTTTGGGAGGCCGAGGCAGACGGATCACTTGAGGCCAAGAGTTCGAGACCAGCCTGACCAACATGGCAAAACCCAATCTCTACTAAAAATACAAAAATTAGCTGGGCATGGTGGCACGCACCTGTAATCCCAGCTACTTGGGAGGCTGAGGCAAGAGAATCTCTGGAACCCGGGAGGCAAAGGTTGCAGTGAGTCAAGATCATGCCACTGCACTCCAGCCTAGGCGACAGAGTGAGACTCCATCTCAAAAAAAAAAAAAAGAATGGAGAAGTGGCTGCAGGAAGTGGTGTGCAACAGAAAGTAAGCAGGAATGGTGAATGTGGTGGTATCCAGACAAAGCAGAATCTGTATCCAGCAAAAGGAGACATGGGTGGTCAAGGAGTGGCCTGTATCATCTGAAGAAATAGCAGCAATAATTAGCAAGTAGTGGGTTCATGGATGAGAAGAAAATGGCCAATGTCCATTAGTAGATGACTGGACTGGTTTATCAACAAAATGTCACAACTCTTGTGGATTCCCCAAGATCTGTGTGATTAAGGAGGGAGCTTTGCAAGTGGTCATGCATTAGCGGGGGAGTGGGGAGAAGACAGTCAAATGTGGGTTATTCATCCTCCTTTTTTCCTTAACTTCAAATATCTCCCAAGAAGATCAGGTAAAACTAAAGAAAATTAATGGAGTAAATAAAACAAGTGTGTAAAAATCTATAATAATAAGTAGATGGGCAAGGTGGGAGAGGACCAAATCAATATCCTTTTTAGTCTTCAAGCTTTATATGTCCTGCAGGTTTTTTTTAAAGGACACAAGCTTTTTAAAGACCTCTAAACATCTTGAATCTTACTCAAGTGTGCCACTAGTTAAAAACAATGCTGGTAATTTCCTGGTTTGAAAAATCTGCCTGGAGGAATTAGTCAAGACTAAGCTTGTATTATTCAAATATTGTATTTGTGTATAAATAGTTGTTTTGCAACCCCATCACAAAGTAGGCAAAGGATATGAACAGACATTTCTCAAAAGAAGACATTCATACAGCCAACAGACACATGAAAAAATGCTCATCATCACTGGCCATCAGAGAAATGCAAATCAAAACCACAATGAGATACCATCTCACACCAGTTAG